CCTAGCCCAGATTAGGAAGTCTCAAGTACTTCATCACTAAAAATTCAGACATCTATCATTTTGTAACAACATGTGCCTTTGATCAGATTATTAGGGCAGGTATGTGTGTATGCTGTAAGAAACACGGGAAGTAGCACATAAATAATAATGAGGTACCTTTTATGGTGCTCACCTACCCATCAAAATGGAACTGTATGAAGTTCTCTTGTCATAGAGAAACTCCTTTTCCCATGAGCAAAGAAACTTGCAGAGTTGTCATCCCAGGCTGTTAGGAGGAAGCCTGCTCCCTTGATGGACAAAACAGGAAGAAGTAATTCTGTTCGCTGCTCATTGTTTTCCTTTACTTGTTAGCATTGGCACAGATTGAAATGTGAGACTTGTAGAGCAGTGGTTCCTGTTCACTCCTGTTTTGCCTGAATGTTTGGGTACTGCTTCAGAAACCTCAGCTTCAGTCAGCTTCAGGATGACTGTCTTGGCCTGCAATTTGACTCTTTAAAAATGCGGGACCTATTTGAGGCAGCCCCTCTCCTTTGGCAGTATACATTAAAAATCTCTGGAGTAAAGCAGGCTGGCGCTCTTTCTGTCAGGGGAGAATGCTGTTAACTGTTCCAAGATGCCTGACAGGTCCTCTTCTATTCCTTCAGGTTCTGCCCTTTCTATAAAACAGTGGGAATGCTTTCCAACATGATTGCATTTTATGATATGGCACGCCGTGCTGTAGAAACCACAGCTCAGAGTGACAATAAGATCACGTGGTCCATCATCCGAGAGAACATGAGTGAAATCCTCTACAGACTTACCTCCATGAAGTTCAAGGTATGTTTGTAAGGAAGTGGGTTGTCCTGCTTCCTGTGAGCTTCCAGGGCCTCTGAAAGACCGACTCAGTGGTGTTGACCAAAGACCTTTGATAAAGGTCTGAACAGAGATTCTTTGCCATCATTTTGAAGACAGTAAAGAATTGGTTTGTGAGCACAGGAATGGTCAGTGCGGAAATCAGGTGATGCTGACTGCACAGCCTAGGCAACCCCACCTTCAGCACCTTCAACATCTCTTTTCTGTTACATATAGTCATGGTAACAGTACAAGCATCTTCTTCTATTTGCTTTGGGGGTTTTGTGATAAAATTCTGTAAAAAGATTATAACATGTTCTAGGGAGACTATTATCAGAGAGAAGCAGTCTGAAGCCAAACATGGGCCACATCATATATTATTGCAGGAGCGTTTCTTTCCTTAACTTCTATTTAAAATAGCTCAGTTAACATTTCCATTGTTCAGTTTTTCCTGGATTTAAACTTCAGGCTGCTTATACCTGTCTCTAATATAAAAGAGACTGCTGAAAGTGGGGAGAGGAAGGGAGGAGTAATTTCAGCATGAGCTTAAGACAAAACAAGTGGATTGGGGCACCTGCTCTGGGTAAGTTTAGTAGCCATCATTTTAGGGTACAGCTTTACTAAAACTCATCCAGAGCATGCTGGTGTAGCAGTTACTGGTAGGACAGTAGTAACCTGTGATGCTGACTGAAATGTATGAAATATAATGCTTACTCTGTTAAAACTCATGTAAGTCAATACTGCAAATCTTTGGAGAACAAGTAGCATTGGATTAAATGTGTTTAGAATTAAATGTTCCGCCATGCCAATGTATTCCATTCCTGCAGGGTACTGGCCTGTTTCTGTAGTAAGTGGGTTCCTGGTATATATTCTCAAAGCATCAAGAACATAACAAGATGCCCTTGGGGACATGAGCTTCTTTGAGAGCTGCTTATGTAGAGACAAGATAATTAAAACACTCCCTACAAACCCTGGCCCACCAGCAGGCATCTGCAGTACAGCAGAGCAGTGGACAGCATGGCTGAAAAAGGGAATAGTTATGAAAGGAAAATTGTATTCCCCAGGTAACAGTGTGACAGGTGTGAGGATTCAGATGTCCTGCATCCTGTAGTTTGGGTACTTGGGAGAGACAATGTAAGAACTACTGCATCCACACATGTAAGGCCTCTGTGTTCACCAAGAATTGCACTGACCCAGAGGATCTCAGCACTCAGAGGAGAATGGTGAAGACATTGAACAGATTTCACAGCCTGACAGTTAATGCTTCTTGCAGAGAAAGCCTTACAGCTCGAGGGCAAAGTATTCTGAGAAAATGGAGCTGTACAAAGATATTTTTGAGATTTTTATGGTTACACAATATTATTGTGAATTAAAATGAATTACAATTCATTTTAATTTGAACCAAACAACCTCTCAGTAATGGCAGAGTAACTCTTCCACTTACTGGGGAAGCAGTGCATTTGGTGTGGGGCTAGGAGCTGGTATTAATCACTGCAGCTCTTAAATCACACAGCAGTAACCAAGACCCTCAGTATTTTTCATTGCTTTCCAAATCGGTTGCTTTTCAGTACAGTAACCACTGCTCATGGAAAAAAAATCATCTCTTTCCAGTACCCATTCTGCCTGCTCACTAATGTGGGAACAGAATGAGATTTAAACCCTGTGGCTGTTGGTGAGACAGACAGGATGCAAGGACAGAGCTACACTGCCTGCTCTGCAGTTGGCAAGTGTTAATCCCAAGGTCAAGAGGTTACAGCAGTGGCAAACCAGAGCTGACTTAAGTACCATGGGTTTTTCCTGATGGGTCTGTTTGCTTGCTGTGTTCTTTCAGGACCCCGTCAAAGATGGTGAAACAAAAATCAAGGCGGACTATGCTCAGCTGTTTGAGGATATGCAGAATGCATTTCGCAGTCTGGAAGACTAGACTCGACCTCTGTGACCACTCCAGTTTGTCCTCTCAGTTCCTCATCTCAGCTCCTCTGCTTCCCTACCTTACAAGAATGATGCAACAGTACTTGAGTTGATAAATAACCGTATGTTTCCCCTGTTCATACTCAGAGAGTGTCTTTAAAAAAACATTCCTCTTAGTTTGTATTTGGCATTGCTTTGTGCGTCTGAAGTGGTGAGTGATGTGTGAATGGGCCTGGCTGAGTGAGGAAATGCTGTTGTACACTTCTAGGGTGGGAAAAATTTCACCTTTCCTCTCCCAGCTCTCCTGGTAACCAGTCTTTCACCTCAGGGTGTAACCAGTTGAGCTGCACTGGCAGAGGAGGTGTAGGTCTTCATGCAGTCATGCGGTACATTGCGAGCTGGCAATGGGAAGGGCACTTACACCTGGCATTTTGCTAAGTGACTATCAGACGTCGAACTCCCTGTTCTCAAACAGAATTTTTGACCATATTCTGATGACATTTGATACAACCAAAAATTCTTCACTACTCTGTCATTTCTGAGTCTCTCAGATGAGTCTTTTGGTATTGAAATGTGGTAGTTCTGGTCCTCTCCAAGAAGGGACTAACTAGAAGGTGAGCATATACAAGCAACTGGTATAATTTTGTACACTGGAGAAATACAATTTTATCTTCCTACTTAATACAGATAGGACTGTTGGACTCAGCATCAGCTAAAATCAAAGCCATAGGTGCTCGGCTTCCAGCAGAATTTTACCTTCTTGGCTCCCATTCATCCTGTAAAATTTCCTGACACTCAGCTGCTTTACTTTGTGAAGCTTGTGACTGCTGCCATGTACTGCAGGGCATGGTTGGCAAGGTACAGTGATGCCACACGTGCTGACCACAGTGTGGTCCTTCCTTGGCGGTGCTCTGCCAGTGCAGTTGCCCCCAGTGCAATGCCCAGGTTATGCCAAGGAAAGGAAAGCACGTGCTTAGCCTTCTTCCTCCACCTGTGCTCACATGGCCTGTTGGGTGATGGCACAGAAGGCCCCCAGTTCTGGTGTAAGAGGAATGTATGATACTCAGCTGGGGGCGGGGGATGCATGGGGGAAGGTTGACGAGTACAAAATGTATTTACTCCTGCCTTGTTGATTACGATGCTAGAGAAACCAGTGGCTCTGGTGTTCTGCTCTGTGCTCTGGAAGTGCTCTGTCAAGCAGCTGAAACTGCTGTCTCTTGGGCTTTTTTATTGGTAAAACTAGACTGAGATGAGGAATGAGCAGAGTGCAGCCTTTCTGTCAAACTCCCCGAGACCAGCACTCATCCCATTGCTCCGGAGTGCAAGAGAGAGAGATGCTGGCATCCTCTCCAGTCTCTCCCTCTCGATTGTGTCTGGTGGCATCCTGTGCCACCTACTGCTTTGTTAGTCCTGAGACAGCACCTGTTGTTGGTGACACCGTGCCTACGTGAGCGTTAATTCTGCACTGAAGTATTTCCACCGGCGCCAGCTTTGAACAGTAGTGATGCAAAGGGATCTTGTGCTACGGACCAAATGCTGCCACTTCCATTATGGTATCAACCCACTGTTTGTCAGGGGAGAGCCCAGCTGAAACTTAGAGGGATTGACTATTTTTGGTTCTCCTGAAAAGAAACTGCTCCTCCAGCTGATATTCTGGTAGTGAACGCTTAAGTTTACAGCTCACTAAACTTTTGGTGTATGCTGCTTATTTTATCAATGAGCATGTGTGAATGAGTAGTCACCATCCAAGCCCTTGCTGGGCTCATCGTTTGTACCCTTCACCACTGTACAATGTAGCATTTCATGCTAGAAACCAGATGTTCTTATCTCTTTAAATAGAGGATGTTATAAACTTTACAGAAGATGTCTAAGATAATGCAGTTCTAATATTTATTGTGCTGTACCTGGCCCTGAAGTGTGACCAGTTCAAAGTTTCATATATATTTTTGTCCTTTTTGTTTTGTGTCTGTTTTCAGTGTTGAGATTCTGATGTTCACTGTGTCCTGCAAGTCTTCCTTCCACAGCTATGGGAGGAATTACAACATGGGCAGAACCCCACCACCTACTTTATCTTGTATATTTCATAATGTATGTTGCTGGAAATTGTGTAAAAAAATAAATTAAAAAAAATTGTTCAAGTCAATGAAAATAAAATTGATTTAAATTAGCTTTTTTCTGTTCTATTTTCTTATGTCAAATGAAACCTGTGCCACAGTGGTGTACACAGCAGCCCATGACAAAAGGTCACAGCTTGCTTAAAAAAAGTTACTTCATTACTTTAAGGATTTCTTTAAAACTGTAAGCTTTTGGCATCGACTCTATACTTCAGTTCTCCCATTCCATTACAATCAAAAAAGAGTTACAAAGTAGTAAATATTCTTAGGGTGGGTATTTTTAGGATTACTTTTAATACAATAAAAGTGTAACTCTTAAGTTTTCCTTTTGCTGCCATGTATGCAAAACAACTGTAATTGTACCATTTTAGGGTGCTTGGCAGTTTGGATCAGAAGCTGAGCAGCACTGCTGGCCACAGCAACTCCTTTTGAATAAGGAGTTGAGACCCTGTGTAAACAGCAGCACATAAACGAAGAATACATTTTGCCCATTTTGTAGATTTGACCACTCTGTAACACCTCCTTGAAGAAAGTGTTCTGATATTTCATAGAATACATTAAGAGATACAGCAAAGCTGAAGGTATTCAAGTAATTCTGTCACCTCACAAAGGGGTGGAAGTCATAAGCTCATCTCCTGGCATCCATGGACTAGTAGTTCTCAGTAGATGTTAAGAAATCCATTGAGTGAAGCAATGAGTTCAGGTTTTGGCACTTTGGAAGTTACCAACTGGCAGTGTCCTCGCTTCATCCACTCGACTTTTGTGGATCTGGAAGGCCGGTGTCACCCAGCGGCCACAGGAACACTGGTCCCCCCTCCAGCTGAAGGAGCCCAGCTTTGATGTGCACTTGGGACACAGAAGCTGCAAGAAAAACCCAGGACTCAGTCTAAGACGTGTTCATGTGGATCTAGTTAGAAACAGGCCAAAAAGCTAAACTGGAAGGGCTCTTTAGCCCTGGGGTGTAGCAGGCAGCTGTGCTAGCAGAAGGGAGAGTGTGGAAATGCAGCTGCTGGAACCTGATGGGATTCCAAAACAGTTTTACCAGGGTCCAAAAGACTTGGTCAGCCTGAGACCACAACAGGCTTCTGAAGTCTCACAAATCTTTCTCATAATAGAAACAAACAGCAGATAAACCCTGTCCAACATCCTGGCTGGTGTTGTCAGCTCAAGCAAACCACCAGCTCATTTCCTTGTGAAAGAATATTTTACATTTAAGAATCTGCCCATAAGCTGCAAAATTCATGCCAGAAAGGCTGGGAGCACCTTGTGTGGGGGTTTTCCTTTCAGGGAACAAAGTTCTGCCTTTGCAAAAAAAAAACCAAAACAACAAACCCAACCAAAAATCCAAAGAATAAAGCTTCACCTGTCCTTCCATTACTCCAAGCAATGCTGGTTCCATCCACTGCACGGGCTCGATGAAGTACGAGGTGCACTTTTCCTGGCCATTCCCAGAAAGCCGTGCAGAGTCTGTTATCCTCTTGTGGGTAAAGGCTGTCGGTCCGATTCCTTCCGTGTGGGACAAAATGCTGGAGCTACGGAACAGAGCGCGTCTGCCCTCGGCAACAGGAGAAAAAAGAAGTAAAACAAACTTTTTTTTTTAACTGAGCAAGTCTACAGACAACAGGAAAGAGGGATATGGGTGTCCTGACTCTAAATAAAGAGGAGTACAAATTCTACATTCTTTGATTCATCTAGAAGGTTCACAAGCACCACTCCAGGGAAGAAAAAGTTTTGTGTGGACACTTAGGCAAGAGCTCATCCCCGACCTGACAACAATGACACACGCCCATTGATTTCCACTGGATATTATTCTCTTGAGTTGATTTCACAATGACGTTTTAAGGAGAAACTTAAAGTATTTTATAAATATATAGAAATACATCTTTTTAATATATATATATATAAAGTACCTGCATTTCCTGCATCTGTAGAGAACCTCTGTGTTCAAAGTTTGGCATACAGTGGTAGGATCAACTGCAAAGACTTCTCGGGGCAAGTCTTGAGGTTCTGCAGAGGGGTCAGGACCACGTTGTGAATCAGATCAGCTCAGCCACGCTGCATTCCTGAGAGCAAGACAGAACTGCGCCTCTGCCCCAAGCACAGCCTGCAGGAGCCACCTTCTTTCCTTTCATTTGTTCTCTCACCAGTTCCAATTGATTAAGCCAAAAACACAAAAGCCTCATCCTGCCATGCCTAAGACTGGGATTTGCTTAATGCAAGGAACTAGGATCTAGACTGTGGCCTCAGACATGGTAAAATAATGATATTTTGCTTTATGTTCTTACTTCAACAGAGAGTAAAGGCAAAGGAGGTTTCTGAGTAGTTGTGCCAATATTTTAGTGCCCAAAATACAGAAAGTCAGCTTGCAAATGGGAACTGCTAAGGTCAATGACACATAAAGGGCAACACCACTGTCACACTGAGTATGCAACACTGAGATCTTGCAAGAAAAGCTACAGGTTATTATTTTATTATAAAATTACACCGATGCAGACATGTATCTTTTGCACATTAAAGTATGAAAGTTTACTTTGTTACCTGAATTTCAACTTTTTCTCAAGTTTTGCATTTCTTTTTGTTTAATCACATTGACATGTTTTCTTAGGATGCTGTTTGCTTTGCCAGGGATGTAAAAATCACAAGAAGTATCAAATTTACCATTTTTCCCAATTTGCTAAAGAGCGCAGCTCCTTACAGATCTTATTTCCCATGCATGTCTCAAAGGCACACTTTTACCCCCACTGATGAGCTGGGATTCTCTAGGGCTGGTATAGTGTGAATGCTAGCCCTGGCAAAGTCCAGGCTCGGCTCCTTTGAGGGCAACACTCGAAGTCAACCCCCTTGGACAGGGCCTTCTGCTTTCATTTGGGGACAGCCTGTTCCCATCCTTGGGAGCCTGCCCCGCGCTTCGCTCCGCGCACCCGCGATGCTCCCACTCACCGGAGAGCCTCTCGCTGAGCATCTCCAGCCGGTACCGCTTGTAGAGCACGCTGCTGGTGTCCACGGCGCAGCCCATCGCCTCGTAGAGCTTCAGCTGCCGCTGGAAGCCCGGGTTCACCCTGCGGCGGGGGCGAGAGGAGAGAGGGCTGAGGGGAGCGGGATGAGGGGGGCGGGATGGGGGAAGCGGGCTGAGGGGAGCGGGATGAAGGGAGCGGGCTGAGGGGAGCGGGATGAAGGGAGCGGGCTGAGGGGAGCGGGATGAAGGGAGCGGGATGAAGGGAGCGGGCTGAGGGGAGCGGGATGAAGGGGGCAGGATGGGGGGAGCGGGCTGAGGGGGGCGGGATGAAGGGAGCGGGATGAGGGGAGCGGGATGAAGGGAGCGGGATGAGGGGAGCGGGATGAGGGGAGCGGGATGAGGGGGGCGGGATGAAGGGGGCGCCGGGCGGGCGGGCAGGGGGCGCGGCACTCACTGCGCGTCCGGCTTGGCGGCCCTGACGGCGGCGAGCGCCTCCTCCCAGCCGAGCCCCTGCGTCTTCATCAGGTAGGCGGCGACCACGGCGACGCTGCGGCTCACCCCGGCGTGGCTGCAAGGCAAGGGCGGCCCGTCAGCGGCGGCGCGGCGGGGAGCGCTCGGCCCCGCCACAGCCGCGGCCTCACCAGCGCACGAGCGCGGCGCCGCCGCCCGCCCGGGCCGCGCCCAGGAACGCGGCACATTCATCCAGGCGGCTCAGCAGGTCCGCGCCGGGCTCGTCCCGCGCCCGGACGTGCATGGCCCGCACCCCCGGCACGGCCGGCGGCTCCTCCGCGTCCACCGTCAGCACCGCCACCACTCCCGCCGCCGCCAGCGCCTCCGGGGACGAGCAGGACTCGGCGCCGCCCACGTAGAGCCCCGGCAGCACCGGCACCATCCCCGTCCCGCCGGGAGCCGCCATGGCTGAGGGAGGGAAGCGCCGCCCCCGGCACGGCATCGCTTTCCGCTTCCCTTGCCAGGACGGACTGAATGATTTCGTGGTAGTCGTCGCGCAGCGGTGCGATTCTCTCCTCGCTGCGTCCACGAGTGTCTGTCTTAACTCGTCTTTTTTGTTCCACATCCCTCTGCCTCCTTACAAATGCTCAGAAAACAAATATCACAGGATGGGTCGGGTTGGAAGGGACCACAGTGGGTCATTGGTCCCAGCTCCCTGCTGGAGCGGGGTCGTCCAAGAACACATGGTACAGGATTGTGTCCAGACGGTTCTGGAGTATCTCCAGTGAGGGAGACTCCTGACAAACAGCACAGAGAATAGAAATTTTCATCTCCGCTTGAAGCTTCTAAATAAAGCTTAAATACTAACTAGCAAAATAGATAAAAGAGTACGCAAGTAGACACACAGCTAAATGTAGCTGCAGCCAGTGGATAAACATATAATGAGGAATATAGTGGCTTTTGTAGCAAAGCTATGTAACAAGAAGCAGCAGCATATGCCCTAAGAGAAGTTCAAGCCAAGGTCATCTGCAACATTGGGGTGTCAGGAAAATCCACAGACGCCAGAGGTTTATGTCCAAACAGGAGACAGAAAGTCCTGCAACTTTTTTTCGAATAAAGGAAGAGAGCCCACGGGGGCACACGCCCGAGGGGTTTTCTCTCCAAGTTGCGAAGAGCGCAGCCTCCTTTTATCCGAAACTCCCGGCCAAATGTTTCACTCTTCCTTTCCCCATTGCCGAGGTACTCGGAAGGTACGGCTTTCCCGGACTGCCTAGCACATATTCTCCCTTTGAACCTACTGTTTTACCCCGAAGTTGAGAAGTTCAGACTTGTTTGTTTCAGGAGCCAAGGTATCAGGACTCTGCAACAAACCTGCTGCCCAAAGTTTGTAGAGACATTAAGAACCATTTCAAAGACATTAACACCCACAACTTTACCCATCTAATTGTGAAGATATTAGCTTTCCTCTCAGGGACACTCAGTGAGTATGACCACCAGAGACCCCTCTAGATGACCATAAAGGACTTACAGTAGGAGGTGGATACATGCAAATTAGTTCTAGGAAAAGTGATGTTTCTGTATTAGCTAGGAAGTACACTGCAATGAATATGTATGGTCACAATGGATTTTTACTCCGGACACACCTAAATTAGAGAAGGTACCTTCTTCTCTACCAGCACACTTATAAAAAAGAATCCCCACTTCAAATTGTGTTTAAAAGTTTATTTGCCAGCTGTTTTCTGTCTCACTCCACAACCTCTCTGGACAACTTGTTCCAGTGCATGGTCACCCTCAAAGTAAAGTTCTTCCTGATGTTCAGGAGGAATTTTCTGTGCATCATTTTCTGCCCTTGTCTGAGTGGCAGACACCAGTGAGAAGAGCCTGGCTCCATCCTCTTGGTCCCCTCCCACTTTTTTTATCGTGGCAAAATGCCAAATTTCATTATAAGTACCTGTACTAAGGCTCGCTCCATGGCTGGGACACAGAACCTTACCCTGTCCCCACTATAAGGGATAGAAGAGCCTAAAGGATCTAATTACCATCATTGAGGGGATTGTTCTAGTGCGGCTCCCTGCGAGACGGCTGCAGGCAAAACTGTTGCAAAAACATCTCCAAGGGCCTCTGGGATCCTTGCAGGATGCTGGCTTGCCACTGAGGGGGTGAGGTCACCTCAGACCTGATAAGGTGAGACTGAAAGTGGTTGCGAAGGGAGGTGGTTTTCCCTTTCCTGCAGGAGAGGCGGATGGAGCTGGGGAACCGCAGAGCAGCTGTCCAGGAGGGATGCACCACCACAGAGATGCTGCTGAGGATGCTACCCATGAGACACTCCCTCACCAGTGCCAGCAGAGAGCATGCACCAGTTGCCAGTCTTGCTGGGAGATGGGCAGTGAGACAGCAGCTTCCAGAGCTGTGGAGTTTCCATGTGCTGCTGGTGGCCCACTGAGCACACTGAGACGATTCTTTGTAATTGAGATGGGACCCAAGGTTCCCAAGGGTGCAAGGCCACTACTTAATGTTTGCTGCAATCCTCACCTCCCATGCTTGCCCTAGTGCCTGTGTGATTGATTGTGTGATTGTGCCATTGTGCAGCAGCTGGCAAACTGCTCCAGGGAAAGGCAGACCCCCTCTTTGGGTGGATCAGCTCTAAATCGCATAAACGTGACCCAGAGGATGTGCCTGTATATCTGAGTATGGGCAGTTTCTGACAGCTCTCATTTAGATTATTCTAAGCTGCATAAATGTTCAAAATTACTTCTTCCAGTTGCCATCACCACCAGTGAGAAACTAAAGGTTTACTGAAAAAGCATTTAAAAATGCAGACAACTTCTCAGTAACAGCAGGGGAAAAAAAAAAAGCAGCATACTGAAAAGAAAGACAGGTGGAAATTAAAACCAGATAAAACTGTGTATGGACCTCTACTCGTGAAAGCAGATAACAATTGAAGCGAACTAGGATGGGGGAAAACCAGATTATTAATTTCTTGAGTGATCTGAAAAAAGTCAGCAGACAAATGCAAGTTACTGAAGGGACTATGAGTTTTACAGCAGGGTTATATTATCCAGGTACTATGTGAATACTAAGGGGTGGTTAATCTCTGTTAACCTTCAAATCTGTGAATATGCAGGGGCAAATAGTACAGTCTTCAACTAAAACCAGGATGCAGGGTCCCAAGAGGTTGGTCTGGTGGTAGTGTTAGCACTACAGTCCTCCACGCTGCTTTCTAAAGCCGTGGATAATGAGGGAAATGTGAAAAAGATGTGATTTCAAACTGAAAAGCTGTAGTGAGGGTAAGTACAAAGTCCTTGGGGCACAGCCGACAGACAGCTTGGTATCTAATGGCTTCACACAACCAAAACTGCAGTCCCTAAACCTCACTGTTTCTCTGCACCCCCCTTTGCTGTGTTTGCCACCTGCAGCCTGAGGCAATGTCTCCTGAATTTGCTCATGGCTCCCAAATTAGAGTAAATTTTTTTTCAATCTGATTTGCAAACCCTTGTTCTGCCCCCACCTCTGCCTCCCCACATCATCTTCTCCTCTACCACCTAAAATTGCGATGTTCTCCCCCAGGTTCCAGGAAACCATGTGACTAATTAAGCAGTTGGGGTGAGCTCAGGTGCAAAGAAAAATCCAGTCAGATGATGGGCTGCTGCCCACTCGCTCCAGCAAGTGCATTCCATCTCTGCATGTGTCTGCCCTGCTGCTTCCTAAGGGAAAAGAAAATGCTAGCCTTCTCTGGGCTGCCTGCTCTGGATCCTCACAGCACAACCAGACTGGCAAAACTGATTTTCCTGCTGTGGAAGCAAAAATGCTGGGCCTGGGCAGAGGCATAACACCCTCTTCCCTCCTAGAAGAATTTGTCTGCATCTTTCATCGCACAGCAGGGTGGCTCTGCTTCTTCAGGTTTTTGTGTAGTTTGGGGCCTGTACATCAGAGGATTTGTGAGAAGAGTCTGCAGCCCACAGCCCAGGTTGCCAGGGTGCCACACAGCAAAGTAGTGGGGACATCTTCAAAAAGCCATATATGAGAGACAGCAGCTCTGGATTTCAGTGTCTTCCTCACATCTAAATGCAGCAGGAACTTACTTTGCACATGTCCTGCTGGTGAAGGGGACTGGTACCATTTCTTGCCTCTTGGAGAAAGGGTGTTTTGCTGAGCTCAGAACTCTGTGGGAGCTGGGAAGTCCTCCATGGCAGCAAACCATCCCTTAAAGCAGGGACTTTCCAGCAGTCACAGTGCTTCTAGCAGGAAATTTAACTTCTGATTTTTGAAGGGCTACTGTTCCCTGCATAACTACACTCTGTGTGTCTATATCCGTGTGTTTACCTTTATCCATGTATCAGGAGGAAGAATTGCTTCATCTCCCAGCAGGAAACCTCAGACTTGCAGAGGCAGCTAGAGAAACAACAGAGAAAGAGGCTCACTCTTGACACTCTGCAGGAGGATTTCATCATAGCCCTGCGTGGGTGAGATGTTCCTACCTGTCTCCACTCTCTCAGCATCTGCAGACATGCAGTTACTCCACATGTCAGACAAAAAAGAAGAGTTTTCCAACTGCAGATCTGATGCTCAATTACAGAATGGAGCCTGACAGCTACTACTACTGGGTATTAATAACTCTGCTTCTCTTTATGGCTTTAACAGCTGTAGCAACCAAGATTTATGATGACACATTACGTTCAGCAATGCATCACATAAGGAAACTAATCTGACAGTGCCAGGTCACTGAGCTGACTTACGGGCTTTTAAGTGAGCTTCTTCTGCCAGATTTGCTGCCCTATTTACTGGCTAAAAATGAACAATTTGCGCTGTTTTAATATAGCTCCATACTTGCCTCTGTTTTGGCAGCTCACAGACTCTTTTCCCTTTGTCACACTGCCTTCCCAGGAGCCAGCTGATCCATCTTCATTCCCCATCCTCTGTCTGAAAAGCCTTTGAAACACATCCAGTGCTGTGTATCCTGAAGAAGGGTACACCCCAGCAGAGGGGAGGAGAGGAGGGAGGTAGCTGGGAGGAAACACTGGAGCAAGAGGCAGAGATGAGGGATGGAGCAACTCTGGGAGAAGGGGGTGATGACAATTGTCTAAGAGCAGAGGAGCACGGTGGCTGCCAGCACTCACTATCTTGTGGCAGGATTTTATCTGTATCCCAGTCACTCCTGGAGAAAGTAAGTCTTGCAAAGATTGGGATCACCCATTACTTCTCCCTAGACTTAGAATTAGAGCTGGCAGCAGGAAAGTCCTAAATAACTGCTAAACATTAAGATTGTACCCTGGAGCTGTGTCTGGGCCTGTGTCAGCCACCTCAGCAGCCACAGATCCTAAATGGTAGCCCGCAGTTTTTAATCTCTTGTCTCAGCAGTGGACTGGATATTTCCATGTTTTCTATCCTCATGGCACCATAATCCACTGCAGAGGCACATGTGAATGCATGGCAGAAAGCAGCCTCTCTTCAGGGGTAAGTGGGCTCCTTCACTACTCAAAGATGCATTCCTCATTATTCCTGCAATTTACTTAGGAGCCCGGTCCAGCCAGCTTTAATGGCATTTTCCAATTCCCATCCCAGGGACCCTTTGTGTTGCTTCCATGAAAAGCAGCTAAAAAGAACAAGTTTATTGTCAGGAGGTCTAAGTTCACTGCAGAGAGTACTGTGCAGTGTACTGTTCCCCTGACAAATACTCAATGTCTGCAAGTCAGAGGATAAAGAAAACACCCTAAAATAGAGTTGAGCTACTTCTTTGTGTTTACAAATGTTTTTGTGGAACAAGAACTTTTAAACAAATAATGTAAAGTACGAACTTTTGATTAATACTTCAACATCTGTAATAGCAGTATGTGCTGCAGTTTATCTTTGTGTATATTTGTATCTAATAAATATCTTCAATAGAAAATATTTCTTAATAAGTACTTTAATTGCTCCCCATGTGGCAACAGAAAATATACTTCCCAAAATCATCAGTTATTGTCAATAGGCAATATTATTTGAGGCAGAAATCTTGCTGAAGAAATATTCTTAAGAGGTGAGATCATTCACTGTTTTAATCTCCAAGTGAGACATTTCCTTACAAGTGGTTATGCTTCTCTCATTTGTGCTACTCCTTCTCTTTGAGTTCCCTATTTCTCTTTCTAATTTTAGAAACATAGGGAAAAAGTGTTGAGAGAGATCTGGATCCGCATGTTCAGCTCCATACCACCACAGGCAATCATATTACATATTACATATTTTCTTCTCTAGCTTCATCTTAGACCTTAGTTTTATTCCCTCCCCTCCTGCGAGGCTCTAAAATCATGATTCTCATTGGACAGCAAGATGGTAGCTTGCCTCAAATCTGATTCTTGTGTTAATGTTATCCTTTAATTTAAGTAGGTCATTTTGTTTCCTGTTATTTATCCCAGTGGGGCAATATTGGAGTAAAATAAATAATTATCTAATCTATTCCTGCTCAGATTTGGTTTTGTTAGTGAAACAAGGCAGGTCTGTTCTGTTTGCTAGGCAAAAAGGAGCTTCCCAGTTTCCTCATTCAAGGTCAGCTCTTCTCTGTATGTGTGCAGATTTTAATTCATCTTTCTTGACTGTGTATGGCCAGACAATATAACAGATGTAGTGGTGATTTTTTTTTCCCAATGCTTTGTAAGTACTTTTTTTAACTTCTACTAGGATTATGTCAGCTGGCCCATCCTAGGTTGTGTTTTTTTTCTCCCCCACTTCTGTTGAGTTCTGATTATCCTGACAAAAGGCAGATACCCCTGTATTTGATGAAACATTGCATTCTCAGCAGAAATTGTAACTTTTGCCCCCAAAACACACGATCTCACACCCTACACTATTAACCACCAGCTGATTTTTATGACACTGCATCTCCAAGTTGATTCCTGTCCAATCGTTCCATCATCCTTGTCCATGTGTGCAGAGCCTCTCACAGCCCATCAGCCACAGTTTCCAGTAGCACGCTGTTTCAACACTGCTGTAACATCCTTGTGAGCCCATCCTCGTAGGTTCTGGATGAGCGACTGGTTTGGCTGCTTCCAGTTGAGCACCACAGAGAACTCTTTGGCAGAGCTGGGCATCTGGGATCGCTGCTGACAGCTGTTCTGTCTGGGACAAGGTGCCTTGCGGAAAGCCCTGCTGTATTTCAGTCAGCTCTTCATCGTAGCCCACAGATTCACAGAATCACAGAACCAATTAGGTTGGAAAAGACCTCTGAGATCATTGAGTCCAACCTGTGACCAAACACCACCATGGCAACTAGATAGTGGCACTGAGTGCCACATCCAGTCTTCCTTTAAACAACTCCAGAGATGGTGACTTCATCCTCTCCCTGAGTAGTCCATTCCAATGTCTAATCTCCCTTTCAGTGAAGAATTTTTTCTGACGTCCAACCTGAACCTGCCACAGCTTAGGACTGTGTCATCTCCTGTCATTTGTTGCCTGGGAGAAGAGATTGATCATTACCCGGCTACATCCTCCTTTCAGGCAGTTGTAGAGAGCAATAAGGTCTGCCCTGAGCCTCCTTTTCTCCGGACTGAACAACCCCGGCTCCTTCAGCCGCTCATCACGGGACTTGTGCTCCAGATCCTTCACCAACTTCGTTGCTCTTCTTTGGAGTGTCCCCAGCCCCGCAGCGTCCTTCCTGAACCGAGGGGCCCTTTGAAAAGTTCCTACTGACCCGGGAAGGGGGAGCTGGAAGCGGCCGCTGGGCGCTGTGTGCGGAGTGCGCGGGGCGAGACCCCGAGGTGGCGGGCACGGGCTCCAGGGCTCGGGCGGCCACCCCCGTCCGCTCCCCGCTCCGAGCGCCGCGGGGCTCCCGGGCACAGCGCCCGGCGGCCGGGCCGGCGGCCAGAGCCGCCCCCGCTGCGGCGGGAGGGCCGGGCCGGGCCGGGCCGGGCGGGGCGGGCCGGGGCGGGGCGGCGATGAAGGGCCATAAAGGGCGGTGGCGGGCAGTGGCGGGGCTGGCGCGGTTGCTCGGGCTGAGCGGCGGGGCCGAGGTGAGCGGCGGGGCCGGGGCTCCCCTCTTCTCTCGGGGGCTGAGCCGGCGGGGTCGGGGCTCCTCTCCTCTCGCGGGCTGAGCCCGGGGCGGGCGGGCTCTCCTGGGAGCAGGCGCTGGGCAGCGCCTCTGTGCTGGCTGCGGGCGCTGGGAGTCAGCGCAAGGCGCGTTCCCGCCGACCCGCGGAGGGAGCCGGACCTCCCGCCTCCAGCGCCGCTGCGGGGACGGGCCCGCGGAACTTTTCTGGGTGTTGTGTCAAGTTATATGTCTTACAGGAGAAAGTTGCTGCTGCAGGGTAGCGCACCTCGTCGTAACTAAGGTGTAAGGGTGGGTGTAGTCCTCGCTCTTTTTTGCCTCTGATTTTGGTGTTGTATTCAATACCCTTTCCACTCGGTATTAAAGATAGTGTCTCCTGGCTCCGCAGTGGTTTTCTTCCCAAGGCGTGAGCATCTTCAGGTGTCAGATCTTGTGAGGGGAATGGCTGGCAGTGGAGCAAGAGGCATGTAAGCTGTTAGCATCCCAAATGCACTGGAGTCGCTAGGAATCTGTTGTCACTAACATAAACTTTGCCGAGTAGGCAAACACAAGTCATCTGGGGGTGGGAGACTTTAGGGGTTGACAGCCTGAGAATTAAACTCTCCACTGAACTAGAAATGAAATATGTCTTCCTCCCCCCAAGGGCTGCAGCGTGCATTATTCTCCTAGGTGAGGGTCACCAAGCAGAACCAAGTGTGTGGTGGGGTTGGAAGCACTGGACTGAGTCCTTTCTGGTCACTGGGTTTGTGAGCTGTGTGTGTTGTCTTGGCTGCAGAGGGCTACAAATGGGAAGGAGGAGAGGGAATAGTTTCAGAGGTAGTAGCTGAAAGCACTTGCAGCTTAAGCTAGAAGTCACAGGAAGACTCTTGTGTTCTTTAGTGATCTGGAGGATTTAATGGCAATACAATGAGTTTACAAAGGAAATGTACTTTAATGTGCTTGAACTGCCTGAGAGCAACTGCTGGAAGGCTTGATGCTTTTTGCTTTGTTGGAGCATTAGGGAGCAAGCTTGAGGAACCTCTTGATTTGTCCTGGATTAATCATCTTGCAAATCACAGGTTTGTTTTGTGCGTGCTAGTGCTAATGTGATCCATGGCAGCCCGGTTTGTAATGCAGCAGCTCATGCCCAAGGACAGAAGCTATTTCCCCAGAAGCATTTTAACCTCACTGTGTACTCGCTCTAGGATTTGACTCTCTTCATCTGGAGAGGTGGCAGGTCAAATGAATTGCTCAAAAATGAAAAGCTGGCAAATGGGAGATTTGGGATGATATAGCTGTTCTTTAAAACTTGCTTTAAAATGTTCCATGCACTGTGCTGTTGCACGCTAGGAAACGATAGGGTTTGATTTTTTTGTTCTTGGTAGGCAGGCGTTAATTTGCTTAAGTTTGACTAGTCTGACCTTGGCAGCTGCAGTCTTCAGGAGTACTTGGGGCAGAAGAAGGTGAGGCATCAATTAGTCTGTTGCTGTCAGGAAGCACCTGGCTACACAGAAACCTGGAACACTTAAAAAAAGAAAAGGGTATTAACACCAGTTTGAGTTGCATGACTATAAAACATCTGTAAGTATCTACATGCTACAAAAGGAGAGTGACTTAAGAAATCTTGTCACAGCTAATCAGATCATTCTCTTGTGCTTAAAATGGTCAGACAAGGCTGTGACCAAGTCTGGTTAATGAGATTCTGGGTGTTAAAAGAGTAACATGAACTTGATATGCATCATCTGAATTTATCCCAGATCTTACAAGCTTGTTTGCCCTTCACAAATGCACAGAACTGGGGGCAAGTATGAGTATTTCCAGAAAAGTAGTTTGGTTAGACACTGTCTCTGGAGAAGGGTAAAGAGTTGCTCACAAAGACTGGAGTGCCTATTGAAGGCTGTTACCTGACTTTGCAGCTGAAATTCTCTCCAGGATGTTGAAGAGCTGCAGCTTTTTGCAGGAGAAAGATATACTTGGCCTTTATCCTGTGAGTGATAGATGCTGGATCATTCAGAAAGGGAAGAGTCCTATGAAAAGGAAGAAATCTTGAATCTCTGGCATAATTTGAGTTATCAATAGACTGTATGTCTAAGCTCTGAAACTAACACCTGATAGTCTTCTATGGTTGTGTTAGCTGGAGACAGCAGTTTGAGCTTTATGTGCATCATGAAACAACTTCAAAGTCTAACTTTCAGAAGTGTTTTGCAGCTCATCTCCCTTCAGCTGGTGCTACTGATGACCTTAGCCTTAGGTAAAGCTTGTGTCATCTTTGGTAATTTTCATTTGACACAAAGTACTTTCCTGAAGCCACTCTATCTCACCAAAAAAAAAGAACGACAGCTAATTTTTTTATTTTTTTTTGCCCGCACCAGTAGAGAAGCTGTGTCTCATTTCAGGTGAAAGGATTGCTGATAATGATTAATACAAAGAGTGATTTCTTTCTAGTTTGTGTCTGTGTGAATGGACAGAAAGACAGAGCCTAGGAATAGATCTAGGAAGCACAAACAGAAGCGCTGACTTGTCTTTTTCTTTTTATATTCTTCTGTACAGTTTCTTTGGAGAAGAAAAGCCCTAAGATGGCAGGCAAAGGAAGTAGCAGAGCAGACTCCATGTCCTGCAGTGTACTGAACTGGGAGCAGGTCAGCCGTCTGCACGAGGTTCTTACAGAGGTGGTTCCGATCCATGGCCGGGGGAACTTCCCGACCCTGAAGATAACTCTGAAGGATATTGTTCAGACGGTGCGGAGCCGGCTGAGCGAAGCAGGCATTGTGGTCCACGATGTCCGTCTGAACGGTTCTGCAGCTGGTCATGTCCTGGTCAAGGATAATGGGTTGGGATGCAAAGACCTGGATCTCATTTTTCAAGTTTCTCTTCCAAGTGAGGCAGAGTTTCAGTTAGTTCGAGATGTGGTCCTGCGATCCCTCTTGAACTTCCTGCCAGAAGGAGTAAGCAAGCTGAAAATCAGTCCCGTAACACTGAAGGAAGCCTACATCCAGAAGCTGGTCAAAGTCTACACGGAGACTGACCGTTGGAGCTTGATATCGCTTTCCAACAAGCATGGCAAAAACGTGGAGCTCAAGTTTGTAGACTGCATACGACGGCAGTTTGAGTTCAGTGTGGACTCGTTCCAGATCATTCTGGACTCCCTGCTCTTTTACTATGACTACTCAGAGACCCCCATGTCGGAGCACTTCCATCCAACTGTGATTGGGGAGAGCATGTATGGAGACTTTGAAGCAGCTTTTGATCACCTCCAGAAAAAGCTGATAGCTACCAAAAATCCTGAAGAGATCCGAGGTGGTGGGCTACTGAAGTATAGTAACCTCTTAGTGCGAGACTTCAGGCCCATGGATAAGGATGAGATCAAAACGTTGGAGCGCTACATGTGCTCCCGATTCTTCATAGACTTCCCAGACATCCTGGATCAGCAGCGCAAGCTGGAGACCTACCTCCAGAACCACTTCTCCAAAGAAGAGAGGAGCAAGTACGACTACCTCATGATTCTGCGCAGGGTGGTGAATGAGAGCACCGTCTGCCTCATGGGACATGAGCGAAGGCAGACTCTCAACTTGATTTCTCTGCTGGCGCTCAAGGTGTTGGCGGAACAGAACGTCATCCCTAATGCCACTAGTGTAACCTGTTACTACCAGCCAGCACCTTATGTCAGTGATGCAAACTTCAGCAACTACTACCTTGCAAGTGCCCCGGTGCTGTACAGCCAGTCCTACCCCACTTGGTTGCCTTGCAATTGATTGCTTCCCTGGAGTGCTCCTGTGTGGAGGCTACTGAAAGCCACGAGTGTAAATACAGACAAGTAATGACTGTCAGTTGGGTGTTCTCTAATGGAAACATGATGGCATCAGACTGTCCACTTCCTGGTGTGCAGTGGGATTATGCAGCCAGGTGACCTGCTATGAACCTTTCGGTGTATCTCTACAAATGCCAAAAAGCCTTATTACCTCTTCGTTGGGAGAAGAGAGCCAGCAGCCAAACTTTAAGTGGAGCAGTTAAGAAACTTTGTACTAGCTCTGGAAGTGGCTATTAACATGTGATCTAAGTGGAGTATTCAGTAAACTGGGTTGGTTAATCGACTGTAAAATGCCTTAAGCAGAAGCTGCTCCTGTAGTAGCAGCAAAAGTCTGCTTTCTATTCCCTAACCTCATTACTCTTCCTCAGTCCAAGTTCTGGCCAATTTTCTCTTGAACTAATTGTGCTAAGACTGGGCTCATGTTATCTTGGGTTGCTTTTACTCTGTGTCTGTGTAGAGCTGGTAAGAGTATGAATACTGTCTGTCTTGTAGAGGACATAAATGTTGTTTCCTGTAGTGCCTATGGATATCTGGTCCTGCCTTGAGTTCAAGATTAATTTCTTGGAAGTTGAAGATAGTTTAGTAAGTCTATTCATAAAGCATAAGCTGCCTAAATTTTTCTTGACTACAAAAACTTCAAAGGTGACATTTATAAAAACACACCAAAGCACAGTCTAAAATTTGGTAATGTGAAAAGTCCTTGAAATGAGGAAGCTTTAAATAGAATTGGAGCCACAGTCTGAACACTTAACTTGGAAAAATATTCTTGAGTCCAGCATCAAGCTAAAGCCTTTCTATCTTTAAAAACAATTTTGGCACAGTTGGAAAGTAGCACAGCTCTTACTTTAGGGTTTGACTGGATTTTCTTCCTCACAGGTCCACAGCAAAACCAACAAAAGCCCTAAACAAAAATCCCAAGCCACTATAAATCGCAGGATTATGTGCACTCCTGCCACAGTATGAATTCCGAAAGCGCCTCCTAAAATTAATTTCTTGTTGCACAACTTCAGGCCAATCTATCACAGTCCTGAAGGTTTGCCTTTCTGCCACTACTGAAGGGTTGAGCTTACCAGGTTATCACAATCACCTGGTCACTGTATGAGATGGCATTTTGAGTGATTAGAGTAAAATTCTTCCTTTTTACTGCTCTTGACCCTCACTTGAAAAGGTGTTGAAGCCCTAAGCAGAGCTCTTCACAGAAGCTGTATGTGTTGAAAATCTGGACCTGAGTTCAGAATAGTTTCTGGAAGAGTATGCACTCCCTTGGAGGTACAGGGGGCTGATCTTCCTGAAGGGTGTGTGCTGAACTTGCTGCTTTGGGACTCCCAGGCTTTATAAGGAAGGTTAAAAATTCCTCAGTTATTTATGTAGTGGTGTAATTAACTGGATAATTTTCACTGAATTATAATAGCAAAATACATATAGCAATGCTCTTGAGTTTCTTTTGTTAGACCAGAGATGTCAACTAGAAAGGCAAACCTTAGAGCCATTTATTATGTTCTGGTGCAATGTTCAAGAATGCTTGTTCACTGAATCTTTTTTTATTACTTCTGTAACTATTTATTACTGTTTCTGCAAGCTTTTAAGACCAAAGTGCCTGAGCCAACAAATGATTAAAGCTTAGAAGGTAAAGCAGGAAGCAGGTGGAACACCAATGTTTGCTTGCTATTCAAGGTGGTAAACAGCAGCAGTGCTGTGCTTAAATGACAGTAAAAATTGCCTGCTCCTCAGAAGACCAACAAGTTCTTTCCAGTTTTCATAACTACTTCAAGAGAGTGCCTCAACGGAGCAGTGAGGCTACTATGCTGCTCAGACCTCATTTAGCTTAGGAGGGCAGGGAGGGATGCAATCTACAAAGTGGACAGTGTTTAGCCAAGCGGGCTTTAGCTTAATTTCCTGAACAGTTTTGATAGCAACTTCAGTAGCAAAAAGACAACTTGGTGGATTATATTGTAGGTTTTTTTCATTAAAGGCTTCCTGATTATACAGCCAAAGTAGCTAATCTTGAAAGCAAACCCAGCCTTTTTCATTAACTGTGGCTTGGACTTGGTGTGGTTTACAGACAAGACATCTGTCATCCAAGACTTTGACTTTTTAAAAAACTAACATGATGCCAGTGTTGTCATATGTGTTAAACTTAGTGCAAGTTTACTGCTGGAATGCAATCCTAGGCAAGAATAACTCCTGCATGCAAAGCAATCCTTGGCCTAATATAGAGTGTCACTAGAAAGAGGACTTAAGGGTTTGTAATTGCTGTCATCTCATAGATATATTTAAAGCCAACCTATGCTACAGCCATTGCGGAAGTGAACCATTGCCTAGAGGGGCTTAGACTCAGATATCTGCCTTCTGTGATGTCATGGCTGATCTTTAGGAACTGTTCTTGTGCATTGGCTCATGTGGAAGAAGTGGTGAGATGCTTGGGAGGAGTCCTCACAAGCTGGAAACACAGGCTGGTTTCATTAGTCTTTAGTGCCTTGGCTGCTGAATGTCAGGCCAGGTGCATCTCCAGGAAAAGGAAATGCTAGAGAAGGAAAAAAGGCTGAATTGGATTCCTAGTGAAATAGAGCCACGGAGAAGTTAAGTTTCCTGCCATAAGTATTGTGCTTTTGCTGATGTAACTTGATGCTGAGGCCTCTAGGGAAGCTCTGCATTGAATTGCTGCTCCCTGAACAGCTGAGCGCCTGCCTGGGTTTGAGCTTTGCAGGATTCTTATGCTCCCAGTCTGGTTGTTAAGATGCTCTGGCACACGGGAAATACTGATGATTTGTAACCTGGCTCTGAGATAATAAACTCTGAATGGTTATACTCTATCCTGAAGCTGCACACTTCTTGTTCCATTGACCCTGGAGTACCAGGAGTTGCTGGGGCACTGCTTGTCCCATTGCCTTCAAAATAATCCTGGCTTGGCAGGTGAAGCTGGTGTACTTGGTGGCTTTTCATCACTGTGCTGCAAGCAGTCCACCCCTTTCTGTTCTGGGTTATCCTGGCAGTTTGATGGTGCAAGTGGCAGTGGCTTAATTTGCTGTGGGTTAGCTGGTTTGAGGTCAGGTTTATGGTGACCCCTTATAGCAAGGGGTAACTTGAGAATGAGTGCAAGATAAAAGTGACAACTCTAGGCCAAGTCTAGGATGTCTGCTCAATTCAGTCACCCCCCAGCACTAAAAATGCCACTGCAAACCTGTTCTAACCTCTTGTGTGTCACAGGAGGTTAGAGAGAGATTACTGTACCTCAGACTGTTACCTGATACGTTCCCTCTGGGCAGTGGCAGTAAAACAAAGCTGCAGTAACACCCAGTGCATCATTCCTCAGGACCAAGCTTCTAACTATGGTATAAAATAGCTGTTTTCTTCATGTGGCTTATAAGCACTGCTGGACAAAGTCAGTTTGAGGTAAAGCACCTGCTGACAACATTTATTGCCAAGTTCCCCTTGACTTGCAGTGTATTGTTGTGACTTCCTCACTGTAAGATAGACTTTTTTATTAGATAGAGATGCTGCCAAGGAGACCTGGTAGAAGACTGTGTTTTAGTCACTGGTGAAATCCCTGTACTGATCCATGGTTACTGTGACAGGTTGGAAGCTAAAGCATAGTTTGTGCTTACTGTGCTAAAGATTTAATTATTGCTGTGCTTGTCCTCAGCTCAGTCAGTCAATCAAGCTGGGGGTTCAGGACTACTGCTTGCTTCTGAATAACCATTTTTCAAAAGATCATCATGCTTTCACATTAATCACCTCCTCTACCAAGCAGTAGGTAGTACTTAAATCTAGTCCAAATATCGAAAGGTTTTTATTGAAACTTAAAGATCCATATTTTGGACTTGCGTTCTGGGGTTAAGCATTTGGTATGTGCCCAGGTTTTGTGGGTTCCTGATTCCTAGAATAACCACTGATGTTGATAGTGACCTCTGCTTGTCACTCTATGAGTAGTTGGGAAAAGGCCTCTTAGAAGAGAACCTGGACAAATTGCCTTAATTCTAAACTGTCACTGTACTGATGGTACTTGTTTCCTATTCCTCTCCCTCAACGCAGTCAGGATCCTGTAATTGTTAGGCGCAGGAATAAGCAGTAAGTTGACCACAGCCACAGACAGCTTGGTCTAATTTGGGCACTGGGAGAGCCAAATGAACAGTAAAGCTTCTGGCCCTCACATCTAAGTCTTACCTAATTGTTTCTTGAATACAGTTAAGTATATTTCATAAATGTTCTTTATTTTCAGTGAAGCTAGATACAGAGTGGGATGTTGGTCTATAGTAGAAACTTTGGGGGGAATGGCTGGAGCACTCTGGTTTTTCTCACATGTCTGGATTTGGCTTGTCTAGCTGAATAAAACTGCACTTCCCATTAAAATTTAGAAGGCTTCTTTTTCCTATGTTTATCTTATTTTTTACTGTTAAAAGAAGTCAGCTCTTAGAAGACCTGTCTCTCATCTCTTTGGAAGAAGTGAGTTGTTTTGGTTTTTCTTTCTCTCCCCTCCTTCTTCTTTTAGCTGGAAAAACAGGGTACTAGAAATATTTGGATTTGTGATGAGCCCAAATGTGAAATTGGTCACAGTAACTTTGTCTACTGTTCTGCACTGTGGTGTTCACTTGTTATCCTTGGAAATCGGGGTTTGGACCTTAATGATGCTGGAATTCTTGTGCAAATAAACTTATGCTAAACAACCCTTGCCTTGAGCTATTTTTGCATCTAAATAATGACAAAGTATCTGTAGAGCTTATTTCACCCACGGGTGTGCAGGTGCACTTGTGAGGTGGGTAGTAGTGTGGGGTACACAGTAATGCTTGCTTTAGATGTTATTCAAGGCACATTTTTTTATCTGCCTCAACTTACTGCAGATTAGTCAGTTAAGTGAGACATGATTAATCTTTTGCTTTCATTAAAGAGACAGCTTCTAAAGAACCATTTTTTTCCCTGTCTGACCATCATCTGGTCCCAGCTTTCAGACACAGTGAAACAGACCTAGACCTTTTAGGTAGGGTCTGGTCTGAACTGGAGCCTGCCAGTCTGTTCTGACACACTCCCTTTTATATGCTACTGCAAACTTCAACTCATGACCCAAGGGGACAAGAAATAAAGTCAGCAATTGTTCTTCAGGTTATTTACATGTTGAAAGCTTTTGCTTTCACACTCTTAATTGCTGATATTACTATTAACCAATGTTCAGTGGGAGCTGAGCAGGTCAAAGCTAAGTACAAGCTGAGGCTGTGCGGCAGTCCACTTGCTGATCCTGCTCTAGAATAAAAGAATAAATGCTCTTAAAAAGTGTACTTGCTTCTGATCCCCTCCAGAGCTCAGACAAACTCTAGCCTTAATTAAGTATTGCTGGAGAAATTCCAGTTTCCAGGACTTTGTAACACCTGCAGTGGAAACTTCTGTGGAATTTAGAGGCGGTGTGATCCCATGGAAGTAATCATGAACCTTGTGTAGTCCCTTTTCCAGATCTAATTGCTTTCCTATGAACTTAGAGAACTGATAATGCAGCTGGGCAGCACAAACCATCTGCTTGTCACCTGAAACTCTCACCTTAACTCCTGTTTGTCACACCATGAAAACTTTGGAGTTATTTTGGGTACTATCCTTATGTTTCTAGAATACCAAGCTCAGCTTTGCAGGGTCAGATAGTGAAACAACAAAATAGCTGTGCTTAGGCAAGTGGTGCCAGAGTACTCTGTGTTCCATATGGAGCTTATATAATGGTAAACAGAGGAACTAAAGATGTTTTTGCTCTATTGCAGTTGCACTGTTAGTGAAAATAAGTATTTTGTCCTGCTAAATCTGCTAGAGCTTTGCCTTCTCCATGCTGTGCAAGGTGAGCTCAGCCTTGTCTTAGCCTGTGAGGCATTAGACACATGGTGTTCTATATTATTGTCATTATTCTTTCAGATGTCATTTTCTCCTTCCTTCTGTGATGGAATACTTAATATTTTTGAAATCAGAGTATTCAAAGTGCCCTTACAGAGATGTTGGTCCTTTGAGAGAAAAAAAAAAAAAATTGTGCATTCCTGCTTATTTAAAATTGCTTATTACATATTAATGTATTTAGTTCATCAATAAATTAAGTATTTGCAGTCACTATTTTCAGCAATAAAATAGTATTTTTATTTATCCAGCATATACCACTTGAATATGGGTATAAAATATAGCAGTTGTGTTTTGCTGCAGTAGCAGTGCTGCCATCTGCTCTGCCTCATCTCAACGAGTTCCATGTCCTATAGGCAAGACTTCCCAGCCAAGGGAATGTTTAGCCTGCCAAACCTTAGTGATTTTTCCTCCTAGGAAAGGGTTGAGTCATCATGCTGGAAAAAGTGAGTCTTGACAAAAACTGTGTGTAAAGCAGCTGCTAGAGCCTAAGCTAGTAGCTTGTGTGTACATTAAGGAGTCCTATGCATTTGTTAGTGTTATTTCATTGACCCTTGGATAATTAATTGGTTTAATTAACCAGCAGGAATGAGGTGCCTAGGCTGTGCTGGGCTGTTTCTGTCACTGGTAAGTAGATTAGAGGACTATCAGTGTTGTCCCACTGCTTGGAGAATGGAGTAGTGCAAACTCTGGGAGAAGTCTGGCCAGGACAGAGGACTGGCTGGTCTAGTCTGGGTCAACCTTTTGCCACTGAGAAACCTCTGTAGAAACTCCTGCATACTTCAGGAGATTCCCATGGCTTGATTGCACCTCAAGCAAAGGGAAAACTGTCCCCCCGTGCAAGAGAAGGCTTGAAGTGTGAGAACTCTAATTTAGTCACTGCCCCCATGCAGCAAGGCAAATCTGAGTGTGCCAGATATGTGGAATGTGAATTACACCCACAGTCTGGTCCCTTTGTGGGTGCCCTTCTTGCTTCAGAACTGACTGTCCACCTGCAACAATTCCCTTCTCCACCCCCTCCCTACTGCTTATCTGAAAAATTTATTCTGAAAGCTGTATCTGAATGTTCCTCCCAGAAAGTTAATGCCCTAAGCTTGCCCTAAAGATAGTGTCAATTCATCGTGTGCTGGGAGAACCTGTTCTAATATTTGATTGTGGTCATTACTGAGAATTTCAATTACATTTTCATGTTGGGCTTTGAACTTTGTCTTCGGCCTGTGGATTGCTGCATCTTTTCCAACAAGGCTGAGAAGTCTCAGATGGTGTCCTGCTATCCACTAGTCTCTTCAGCTCTTGGATGAACTGCAGAGAATGGGCACTTGAAGCTTTATGTTGTATAGGTTGGATTCAGAAGCTGGAAACATTTTTTCTGTAACTTTGTTGTTCCTGTTTCTCCTGACCCGGCACCAGCTGTTAGTTCAGTGCTCTACATACTCCCAAAAACTGGTGCTCAGATTGCTTCCCAAGCCCTTGATGTCTGTCCACAAGCTCTGCCTGCCATTTTCACCATGGCATTATGGCATGCCAAGTGCTTGGCCTGAGTCAGTTATCCACAGTGATTTCAAACTACATCTGCTGCTTTCTGAGGCAGCCTCTACCATCTGCTATCAACAACATCTGTGCTCCTGGTTTCCAGATGTGGTATTTTGCACTTGTGGGTATTAGGAAAACACTTTGTCTGAATTCTATGGGCAAATACTCACAAAGTGGATGCACAGTGTAACTCATCTTCATTGTTTACTACCACGCTGTCATCAGTGTTGCATAGTTCTCACCGTTTTGCATTGTTCTTGCATACTGAAGGGTACATGATGTGGTTGTGGGCACCTTGAAACCTGCAGGTGGTTTAAAACTAGTGTCAGCACAAAGTCCACAGAGGTACTGGACGCAGGTTATTTTGGGAGCTTTTATTTGTTCTGCAAATACAGGGTAGAGACAGCAAAGAAACTTTATATTCTGTCAGTGCTTAACAGCAGCTCCTCAGTCCTTTGCACCCCCCACCTCTAAAACTCTGCAGTTACAAGTGCCTGGGCCTTACTGTCTAATTACTGATTTTACTTACTTGTTAATAAGGAGTAGATGTGTAGTCAAAGGGTCTTTGGTTTGGCACAACTGAAGTGAGGAGCTCTGTGTTTCTGCTCTTGCCATCACATCTGTAAGTCATCACAGTCATCTGCCCGTCTTGCAGCTCATGTGGGGCTCCCCAAATGTTTCACAGCCCTGACTAATTGCCAGGACTGATGTAAATCTCTAGACCTCCATGAGGTCCCTTCCACTTTGTCCTCCTGGCCAACTTTTCTTAAGGCTGGGCTGAAGTAAGTTACTTTGGGATTGAGAGCCTGCCGTGGGCACAGTCCAAATTCCCTGTGACACCAGTGGGAGTTTGTGTAGTGCTGTGAGGGATTTGCTAACATAGCCTGGCAGGCCTGAGTGACACGGGCTCCTGTGTTACAGCTGTCCAGCTGTACTGGCCTGTGCTTCCCCAGCCCTGCTTGATCAGTGGGAGCAACATGTGCAGATGGAGCTCAGCCTCTGGCATCAAATTCATGGAGTAACTCCAGAGAAATGCTGCACACAGGAAAAATACCCCCAGCATCTGTTTTGGAGCAGAGGAAAATTTGAATGTGGAGTAATATTCTAGCTAAAGATGTGCATTCCTCAAATTGGTGGTTGGCCTTCCTCCTTGTAGCACTTATCTGGTAGAAGGAGGATTCCTATTTCATATTGTTTCCCAGCCCATGGGCTCTGAAGAGAGGAAAAAGCACATTTTGGTAACAGAGGGAGCTGCTGACAGGGCCAGGAGTGGATATTTTGGAAGCCCTGCCTGTTGGTGAGGTGGAAAGGGAAAGGGAAGCTGGATAGTACTGGGGCATTTCAGAAATCAAATAGGAGGATTCACGTTTTAAAAAACCCCACACATATGAACCAGGAAACAGACAGAGAGGTGTTCCATCTTCTTACAAGCAGGTCTGACCTCAAAGTGCAGCAGCATGCCAGCAGAACTTGCAGTGGGGCTGTGCCATGCCCAGTCTTAGGACGCTCCACGAGTATAATTTGTAACTTTTTGCAATACTCAATTGTGACATAAACCATGGTAAATGTGCTCTTCTGTTATTGTGTGCTACACGTGGCTCTCCTCACTGACACATAAGACACTCATGGTGTGAACTGTGGCCTTCAGAATGCTCAGCCAGAGTTTTGTTGGCTAGTTAGAAATAAAAGATTTCTGTATGGGTATAATTGCAATTATAGTTACGAGTTTCAGTTGACCAGGACTTGAATTTTTATTTTAATTGAAGTACCAGATTGAGAACATTTAGTTAAAAGGAAAAAAAAGAAATTTCTTTCTTGAATAAGAGTTCATTTACTAGCAATGTGATACTTGACCAAAGTGTCTTGCTGTAAAACTGCATGTGAAGTTATGATTTTTAATTCCAGAGCAGCAGTTTTTACTTTGAAGGTGCTTGCTGCCTGATTGCTGGTTTTACTTACTGCTAATAAAGAATAGATGAATAGTGAAAGGGTCTCTAGTTCACCTCAGGGATCATTTGACTGATTTGCAGTATTATAATACCAGATTATCATCAGAGAGTTTATGTCCACTACAGTCAAAAGGTCCAGATCCCAGACCTCATGGAAAAGTACTGTTACAATGCACCATAGTGGTCTGGACTTGAATAAGAGAAAAACTGCAGAAAAAAAGAATTTAAACCTGTTTTTTGTTTTGTTTGTTTGGGGTTTTTTTTGATGATGACTGTTCTTCAGGCTGTTGCAGGCATGCTTGATAGCTTGCAAGCCATGT